TGTTGTCCATAGCTTGTCATGATCCACACAATTGAAAGCCTTTGCATAGTCAATAAAGCACAGGTAAACATCTTCCTGGTATTCTCTGCTTTCAGTCAAGATCCATATGACGTAGCAATTATATCCCTCGTTCCATGGCCTCTTCTGAATCTGGCTTAAACCTCTGGAAGTTCTCTGTTAATTATGCTTGCAGCCGTTTGTGTATTACCTTTAGTAAAACTTTACTTTAATGGGATATCAATGATATTGTCTGACGATTTCTGCATTCCGTTGGGTCACCTCTCTTTGGAATGGGCACAAATACGGATCTCTTCCAATCAGTTGGCTAGATAGTTGTCTTCCAAATTTCCTAGCATAGATGAGTGAGTGCCTCCAGTGCCGTCTCACTTTGTTAAAAGATTTCAATTTGTATTTCATCAATTCCTGGTGCCTTTTGCTTTGCCAATTTCTTCAGTATCGTTGGCTCTTGATCATATGCTACCTCTTGAAATGGTTGAGTATCAACCATTTCTTTTGGTACAGTGACTCTGTGTATTTCTTCCATCTTCTCCTGATGCTTTCTGCATCATTCAGTAATTTGCCCAGAGAATCCTTCAATAATGAAAGTTGAGGCTTAAATTTATTCTTCAGTTACCTCAGCTTGAGAAATGCTGAGCGTGTTTTTCCTTTTTGGTTTTCTGACTCCAGATCTTTGCACATTTTGTTGTGATATTTGACTTTGTTTTCCTGAGCTGAACTTTGAAATTTTCTGTTCAGCTCTTGTACCTCCTCATTTTTCCATTTGCTTTAGCATCTCTATGCTGGAGAGCAAGTTTCAGTGTCTCTTCTGATATCCATTTTGATCTTTCCTTCTTTCTTGTCTTTTTAATGACTTTTTGCTTTCTTCCTGTATAATGTTTTTGATGTCATCCCATAATTCTTCTGGTCTTCAGTCTTTAGTGTTTAATGTATCAAATCTGCTCTTCAGATGATCTCTAAATTCAGGTGGGATCTATTCAAGGTCATATATTGGCTCTTGCGGACTTGTTTTCATTTTCTTCAGCTTCAGTCTGAATTTGAGCAATTCAAGTCTGATTTTGAGCATATGAGCAATTGATGGTCTGTTCCACAATCTGTCCCTGGTCTTGTTTTGCCTGATGATATGGAGCTTTTCCACTGTCTGTTTCCACAGATGTAGTCAATTTGATTTCTGTGTATTCCATCTGGTGAGGTCCATGTATATAATTGTCTTTTATGCTGTCTAAAGAAGGTATCTGAAATGAACAAATCTTTGGTTTTGCAGAATTCTATAATGCGATCTCCTGCATCATTTCTATTACTAAGGTCCCATTTTCCAACTACTGATCCTTCCTCTTTGTTTCCAACCTTTGCATTCCAATCACCAGTAATGATCAATACATCTTGATTGCCTGTTTGATCAATTTAAGATTGAAGAAGTTGGTACAATTCTTCTATTTCATCCTCATTGGTTTTAGTCTTACACGGTCTGCAACAGTTGTTGTTGTTGTTAGGTGCCATCTCACTGGGGTCTTCCTCTTTGTCTCTGACCCTCCACCTTACCAAACACGATATCCTTCTCCAGCTACTGGTCCCTCCTGACAATATGTCCGAAGTATGAGAGAGAAAGTTTGGCCATCCAGGCCTCCAAGGAGGCTGCACTCTGGCTGCACTTCTTCCAACACAGATCTGTTGGTTCTTTTGGCAGCCTGTGGCACTTTCAATATAGAATATTGGCTTTAGTGGTTGGTACATGAATTTGAATAATAGTAGTATTAATTGGTCTTCCCTGTAGGTGCATGGATATTATCCTATCACAGACAGCGTTGTACCTCATGACTGACCTTGGAATGTTCTTTTTGATAATGAGTGCAATTCCTTTCCTCTTCAATTTGTCATTCCTGACATAGTAAACCATGTGGTTGTCAGATTCCAAATGGCCAATACCAACCCATTTCAGCTCACTAATGCCTAAGGTATCGATGTTTATGTGTTCCACTTCATTTTTGACAGTTTCCAATTTTCCTAGATTCATACATTGTACATTCCGTGTTTCCATTATTAGTGGATGTTTACAGCTGTTTTTCTCTTCATTTTGAGTTGTGTCCCGTCAGCAAATGAAGGTCCTGAGGGTTTTACTCCCACGAGCTTTACTCCATTCGCATCATCATGGTCAACTCTACTTTAGGAGGCAGCTCTTCTTCCCCAGTTGCATTTTGAGTGCCTTCCAATCTGAGGGGCTCATTTTCTGGCACTGTATCTAATAGTGTTTCTCTGCTATTCATAAGATTTTCAGTGACTAAATATTTGGAAGCAGTTTTCTGTCCTTCTTCCTAGTCTGACTTTGTCTGGAAGCGCATCTGAAATCTGTCCACCGTGGGTGACCCTGCTGGTGTTTAAAATACCCATGGCTTCGCTTCCAGAATCACAGCAACTCACAAGTCACTACAGTACTACAAACTGACAGACGAGTGGGGAGTCTACCCTCTAGCCTGTAAATAATTTCCCCTCCTGCACCTCCTCATCATAGATTGTTTCTTATATCAAGAAAACCATTTTTTAAAAAAACAACTTTTTACAACATTGGTCTCATACAGTATTTGTCTTTTTTTTTTTTTTTTTAACGTTTTTATTGTGAATTGAGTGATAGTTTTACATTCATCATTTCATTGCAATGATTACAATCTCCTTTGTGAATCATCATTCAACAGTATTTGCTTGTTGTTTTTTTGTTTGTGTGTTTGTTTGTTTGGGGGGGGATGTACATAAAAACATTCAGGGCACATTCTGCAAGCCGGCCTCCTGGCCATCAGCACCTGGCTGCTAGCACACAGCCTTTCTCTTTTTGTGAGTCTAGAGTCCTCAGCTGCTCTCTCTCTCCATGCCTTCATTGTTGTCTTCATCACTGGTGTCGCTGCTTCTCTGGGTAGGGTCCCACATTCCACTCGTGCTCTTCTCCCTTGATGGCCTTAGGGTTCTCTGTTCCTGGACTGTAAGATTAACTACTCCCCTCATTTTGTTACAAAACTTCTGTCTTTACAGTTTATGATAACAATTACTCACTATTGAATCATAAGAATCCTATCCTCATCTCCTTTCACCAGACCCATCTGGATAAGATGAAAACTATTTAGTGGGGCTTCTACCTACCCCCACACCCTCTGAAACGAAACTCTTATACTTTGGACATGTTGTTAGGAAGGACCAGTCACTGGAGAAGGATATCATGTTTGGTAAACCAGAGGGTTGGAGAAAAAGAGGAAGCCCCCCAATGAGATTGATTGGCACAATGGTAGAAGCAATGGGTTCCGGCGTAACAACAATTGTGGCATTAGCCCAGGACCGGGCAGAGTTTTGTTCTGTTGTACAAGGGGTTGCTATGAATCGGTACTGACTCCATGGTACCTAACAACAACAGCAAGACCATGCAGAATTTTGTTCTGTGTGGTGCTGTTGGATAAGCACTGGACTGCTAGTCATAACATCAGCAGTTCTAACCTATCAGCTGCTCCTCGGAAACCCTGTACAGGGTCACTATGAGTCAGACCAACTTGACGGAACTTAGCAACAACATACAGAAGGCTGCCATGACTCACACAATTGAGATGATAGTGACTAACAACAAAATGTGCACTATTTGGGATACACTCATTCTAAAAATCATTTGTTGTTTATTCAAAGTTCAAATTTAACTGGGCATCCTGTATTTGGTCTGAAAACCCTACTCTGGAAGGAAAGGAAGATGATTCGGAAAGCAGTTCAGATTTAAATGGGAGAGTTTTCTAGGTAGAGGACTAGGGAGAACTATGCAAGCATGTTGGGGGTCAGTGGTTTATTGATGGGTGACAGAGAATAGCCAGGCTTGAAGATATGACTTGACCCATTAATGTGCTCCAATGGCAGTCAGCAACTTTGCTTCCCTCATGGGGAGATCCTGATGATATTTGAACAAAGGAAAGACCCTAATAAAGTAATGTTTTAAGAATAGACACTAACTGGGGATGAAACAGGTAATAGTCAGGTGACTAACAGGTTTTGGGTTGAATTCCTTGAATGGTGGTGAGGCCTAGAGTCGCCCTGTTTTCTCTTTGCTCTTGACCTCAGGTTCACTGCATCAGCACTGAGTTCACTCCTCGAAAGAAAGGTGGAGAGAAAGGTGTTCCTTTCAGACTCCAGATCGACACCTTCAAGTTTAGTGACAAAGAGCTTCCGCCTGAGCACCTGCATTCGGCCAGCTGCCTCATCAAGGTGTTTAAGGTACAGCCAGCACTGAGGCCCCTTCTCCCTCCTCTCAGGGCTGTCACCCAGCCACACTGGCTGCTTAGGTTCTGGCTCTGTGGGATGCTTCCCTTCTGTGTGCACAGAAATGAGGCTGGATCTTTTCTAAAAGTCCACCCAGTGGAACCTCCTGTAGGGAAATAGGCAGGTAAAGAGGGCCCTTTGTAGCTTCCTCATCATCCCCATAGCCCAAAGGAGCCGACCGGAAACTAAAAACTGACCGGGAGAAGGTTGAGAAACAGCCGCTACATGAGAGAGACAAGTACCAGGTTGCCTGTGAGAACACCATTTTTATGGAGGTGTGTGACTTGGGGCATCAGTGTGGTGTGGGGGGTGGAAGTGGGGTGGTCCCAATTGTACAGGCAGGAAAAGTGAGGCCTCAGAGCTGTGCCTGATTTAGGATGAACTCCACTGCCAGAATTCTACCTGTTTCCTGCAGAGGAAACCATCTACACTGTTCCACGAGTGGGTGCTCTGTAGTGCCTCCTTTCAGCTACCCCTCCTGCATCTTCCATCGCAGTCTCTTCACCCCTGTGCTTACTGCTCTATAAACACCTCCTTTCCTGGGCTTAGCTCCTCCAGGCAGTTTTCCTCAACCACCCCAGACCTGGTACTTTATTCTCTTCCTTTGTGCTGAAACTCAGCCCACTTGCCAGGACCTCCCTTTAGGGCAGCTGCCTTGCTAGCTCTTTGTACTAAGATGGATGAGAAGAGAGTGTGTGAACAGGAAATGTCCAGGCTGACCTTGCATTTGTTTGCCTACAGTGTTCACCATGGCCAGAGCCCATTGCAGGGCCTCTTAGTCCTTTGGCTCTGACCTCCCCTCACTCCTGCAAGCTCCTGTCCCCAGAGAGGTGAGGTGGGACAAGCACTCTCCTGTCAGCCCTGTGACTTTGGGGTGAGAATAAAGGAATGGGGGGAAAGGCAGAGCTGAGGGTGGAACTCAGATGAAGATGTTTATGCAGAATGCAAGGGCTGAGACTTCCAGGAAATGGGTGGGAAGGAGACGCTACACTACTGTGCGGAGCCCATGAGTTTCTGCTCTTTCCAGGGTCTGCTCATCACCACCATTCACTTTCAACACCTTGGTGGGCAACACAGCTGAGGTGAGTCTTTCAACCCCTCAACCATTGTTCCAAAGACTTTTCAGCTGCTTCATCACTCTCCAGAATGGAGTTTCCCTGCCCTCTGGTGGAAAGATGTGATATGGCCACAGATGATAAATTTTTGTTTTCTGAAAGATGTGCCTCCCCACTCAGATTTGGGACTCCCAAGAGCAGGGGCTGCTTTTCACCTCCCTGATGTTCTTAGTCTGTCGACTGCCTGAGGAAAGTGTCCATAGTGTTACCTGGACGACCCTCTTTATGCCTCAGGATCTGAATCCTGGGGCCTCTATCCTAGAGACGCAGCAGTGGTTGTACGGGCACCGGTTCTCCAGCTACTGTCGGATGCTGGCCAACTTCACTGGTGAGGTTGGGGTTTGTGGGGTGGGCCAAACCTGTAGGCGAGGGAGAGTAGGGCACTGAGGCAGGAAGCCTGTTTCTCTTGGCTTGCTGTTTGTCTTTCAGCTAACCTTTTTTCAGGACTAAGGGTTGCCAGGCATTGTGCCAGCCTTTCTCTTTCTGAATGATCCCATATAACTTAACACACTGACCCTGAGGACAGGGCCTACAGAGGCTAAATAACTTGCCCAAGGACAAACAGCTAACAAGGCAGAGTTGGGATCAGAATCCAAATCTGACTCTTATGTCTAGGACTATTTGTAAGACTAACATTGGCCTGTGTTCCCTCCCTCTAGCCCTCTTCCCTCATTGTGGCCCTGTCTGACTCTGCAGGTTCCGATCTGCTGAAGCTTACTCGCCAGGACCTTATCCAGATCTGTGGAGCTGCTGATGGAATCCGCCTTTTCAATACTCTGAGAGCCAGGTGCTGGACCTGTTCCCACTCTAGTGACCCTTACTAACTCATTTAGCAGGAATGTTTCAGAAGGCATATTAATGACCACTTTAGGCACACTCCCTCCTTTTATAGAGGTCAGTGACCAACCTGAGGCTACAGAGCAATGCTGACAATCAGGCTCCTGGGACCTCCTTATTCCTTCCTATTTACTGCACTCAGTACTCAATTCCTGGAGGGAGGATGGGGATGGGCAAGGATAGGCTTTTCTCACTTTTTCTCCCCTCAGTTCCAACATCTATTAAGTGAAATGCTTGGTGATCTCCCTCACTAGAGACCTGGGAGGCAGCCAGTGGTTAAAAGTAGGGTCAAGCTCAGGAATGAAGGGCTGATACATAGACTGTTTTCCTGGCCCAGGCCCATCCGTCATCGCCTGACTTTATATGTGGCTCAAGAGGCCTCTAGACAAGAGAACGAGATTTCTAAGAACTCCGACTCAGGTGAGGCTCAGGCCCTCTCCCTGAAGATGAAAAATTCAGCTGTGGCTGCGTGTAAAACCTCTTCTGGGGAAAGGCACCATCATTGCCTGGACCCAGGCTGTCCTCCTTGGTGTTTCCCTTCTTCCATGACTGGACTAGTCCTTTCTTCCTAGGATGGCTCCCTGCATTTATTCCGTACGTTCTACTCCCTGACCCATATCTGATTTTGTCATTCCATTAGTGTGTGTGGGGTTAGCACATCATCCATGATTACACTTAAATTTCAGTTATTCACATGTAGGACTCCCATCTTTATATGTAAGTGCTGTGAAGTCAGTTCTGACTCATAGTGACCCTGTATATGGTTTCCAAGGCTTTAAATCTTTGTGTGAGCAGAAAGCCGTATCTTTCTCCCATGGAATGACTGGTGGGCTTGAACCATGGACCTTGTGGTTCGCAGTACAGTGCTCATCATGTGGAGCCACTGCGCTCCCATCTTTATATGGGGGTCCCTTTAATCCTCGGTTTCCCCAAAGGTGAGGAGTGACAGATGAAAACAGTGGATCATTTCTTCTTTAATGTCACCCACCCTTATCATTTGTCATCCTCTTTCCTCCAGAAATGACCATCCTCTTGTCATTCCTGGCTCTCTGCCCTGGCTGACCCTGCCTCTGTGCTGTCCACACCTCCAGGCATTTATCAAGAGATCTGCCTGGATGAACTCAGCGCCTTAGAGCTGATGGGGAAACTGGCGGAGCTCTTGGCCCTCCCAGCCAATCAGATCCATCGCCTTTTTCATCAGGGCCCTGGGGGCATCCTCATTCTTCTCAGTGACCAGGTAAAAGTGCATCTCCCTTGCTTAACTCCTTTACCTCATAATTGTGTCTTTCTAGTTTGGTTTTGTTATATGTCCTTCCCTTATCATGCCTATGACCCCTTCTCCCTTATAGGTGGTCCAGAATCTTAAGGATGAATCCTACTTTGTGGCTGTGGTGAAGAAAGGTAGAGGTTTTAGAGGGAGTGGATTATGCTGGCCCTAAAAGAGTGAAAAGATTATGCTGAGTAGTCCCGGTGTGGTACTACAGGATAAAGCACAGGACCACAAGGTTGGCTTGCACTGCAGGTTGGCAGTTCAAACCTACCCTCTGCTCCTCAGAAACACTAGACAAGGTCAACTCAATAGCACTTAAAATTTAAGAGCCAGTGGGGGTATAGCTCAGTGGTAAAGCATTTGACTGCAGATCAAGAGGTCTCTGATTCAAATCCAGGTGCCCCCTCCATGTTCTTTGAACTACATGTTTTGGACTCCTGATGTGGTGCTGTGGGATCAGCACTGAACTGGGAACCACAAGGTTAGCAGTTCAAACCCATCAGTTGCTCCTCAGAAATCCTATAAAAAGTTGCTAGGACTCACTGGCACCTAACAAGATGAGATGAAAGGCGCCCTGGTAGTGTAGCGGTTACACATTGGGTTGCTAACTGGTAGTTTGAATCCACCAGATGCTCTGCAGGAGAAAGATGAAGATTTACAGCCCCGGAAACCCTATAAGGGTCACTATTATAATAAGACTTGCATTGAAAAATACTTGATGGTACACCATTGCCACTAGAGATTAAAGGATCCTTGAAGGTGTGAAGTTGGGTTGTGTCCCATTCAACTGGCAAACATCTAAGTGTCATTTCTGCTATAGAGCAGGATTCATAGTATATTAAAAAAAAATGTGGCTGAATAAATATATCCTTTCGAGGAGAAAAACGTCCCCACTTCTATTGTCTGAAAGTATATTAGAGGGGTAGGTATAGCCCCCACTCTGCTCCAGCCCCTACTTCCCCAATAACCACAGAGGATAGAAGGGCAAGTGCTTGTTCAACTTCATCTCACCCTAGTCTGATCTAGTACATAGGAGGGCTTCCTGGAGAGATGACTTTGAAGTGGGTCTGGAACACTTAGATGCATTCCAGGCTGCTGGAGGCTTGTGGGGAGAGTGGCAGTCCTGCCTCATGCCAATGGTCCCCTTTTTACTGATTCCAGTGCAGAATCCAGAAGGCTACTACTTGATTCTGACCTAAGCCCAGGGCAGCCCTTCTACAAAATGAGCCTGATTGTTGCCTGTTTCTCTGGGGCCCTTGAGATTGACCAGTAGCCTCCAGGCTCAGCAGCACTCCTTGTTGGATCCCTGGACACAGTCTCCCTTGCCTAGACTCTAATGAGCTGACCAAGCTAATGAAAGCAAACACAAAATCCACCAACAAAAACCCTAAACAATGCCCCCAAATTCTGGCAATATGGAGCTTTTGCCATGAACAGTGTTGGCCTCTGGAAACTGAGTGTAATTGATGTTTATTTAAACCTTATTCACTTCTTCCTTTTATTTTTAAATTAAAAATTTAAAAAGGTATATATGGATTTTCAATGTGTTGTACTTTCCCCAAGAGGAAATACCCTCTTCTGACTTGGGCAGTGATGGGAGCTGGGATGAGGGAAGCAATCTTTTTTCCCTCAATTTGGGCAAAAAGACCATTCACCATTCAAACCACAATGCCGATTTAAAACTTAATTTCCAGACATTTAGGTAATAGTATTGCCATACTCATAGCAATGAGGCTATGGGGTTGTCTTTTCTGTTCCTGATTTTTCTCATCCCTTTCCACCATAATTTATGAAAACTTTCAAATATAAATATTGAAATAGCTGTACAGTTAAAACCCATACGCATGGAGTGGATGATGGGCCAAGATGACCTCTTAAAACTTGTCTAATTACTTATTTACCTAAGCTATTAGTTACTGACAATTGTGAGACTGGCCCAGGACAGGGAGTGTTTCCTTTTGTTGTGCATAGGGTCCCTATGAGTCCTTACTAACAACAACATTAGTTACTGATGATCTTTGATGAGTTGTAAACCTGGTGGCCAAGAGGAGGTTAAGAAAATGGAAGTCTCTAAACACTGGCACAGATAACAATGGATGGGGGTGGGTGAAGGGAAGCCTCCTCATTGTTTGAAGTTCAGAGACCTACAAAGTACTTTCTAGGACATCCCCTGGAGAGGAGTTGGCCTCAGATGACTAATCCAGACTGTTGTTAAGTGCCATCGAGTGGGTTCCAACCCATAGTGGCCCTGTTTAGGGTTTTTGAGGAGTGGCTGGTGAGCTTGAACCACCAATCTTGTGGTTCAAACCAACTTTACAGTCCTTTACTTTATGCAGGAGAACGAGTGGAATGTCAAGTGAGGTCTATGATTCCATGGCTCCCCAAGGGTGTTTTAAACAAGATGGACACCTGGAGATTCTATATTTGGTTCTACTGTTCCCCTGCACTAAAAGGATAGCGACCTCTTTTATTTACTTTTGTGTATGTCTCAGCCTTAGGCACTGACTAGACACTGAAACCATCATTGAAACGACGGGACTAAAAGCAGCTAACACAATGAGTTATCTCATTTAACACAAGTCTATAAAGCAGACACTGTTATCCTCAATTTACCAATGAAGGCTGAAGCACAGGAGCCAACTGGCCAAGGTCATATTGGAGGTAAATGGCATAGCAGATTTGAACCCAGGCAATCTGACTCTGGAGTCTGGCATTTAACCATTACACTACCCCGCTTGCATCTTTTCCAAGTCAAGATAAGGAACTTACATTGAAATTTTTTATTATCAAATTAAGGCAAAGGTGTTTTCGAAACTCTGGTCTATAATTATGTCTTTTCTTCTTCTTAGGGCCAAATGGAGTTCAGGGAATTAAAGACTAGGTATGTGATGATGCCCAAAAGATGCCTTCATTCAGCCTCAGGAGGCTTTATAGTTCTAGGGCTCAAGGAAGTTAGTAAGATGCACAGCTCCAAGTCAGGCTATTTCTACAGTGAAATGAAAAGCATTCACAGCTTATTTCCTTTAATTACATCATAAAACAAAATTAGAACATACAGGAAAAACAATAGTTACATAACAATTTACTTTATATA